TTAAATTCTCTTTTATTATAAGTAATAGGATAACTATATTTGGTATGTGCGTACCTTGCAAGGTCCTCATGCCCGTCAGACAGTTTTCACTTTACCTCGACCTCATTTTAATGGATCAGTGAACAAGGTTAAGTTTTGGTGGTCAAGTCCATATCTCAGATACTATAAGCAATAGGTCTAGTATATTCGGTGTATGGAAGGACTATAAGGTGTACATGTCCAACTGGAAGGTGTCATCTGACCTTGACCTCATTTTCATGGTTTAGTGGTTATAGTTAAGTTTTTGTGTTTTGGTCTGTTTTTCTTATACTGTATGCAATAGGTCTACTATATTTGGTGTATGGAATGATTGTAAGGTGTACATGTCTAGCTGGCAGGTGTCATCTGACCTTGACCTCATTTTCATGGTTCAGTGGTCAAAGTTAAGTTTTTGAGTTTTGGTCTTTTTTTCTAATACTATATGCAATAGTTCAACTATATTTGGTGTATGGAAATATTTTATGATCTATTTGTCAGTCACGCAGGTTTTTTTTTACCTTGACCTCATTTTTAAGGTTCATTGCTCAGTGTTAAGTTTTTATACGACTGCAAAAAAATTTTTGTGGTTGTATATTGGTATGACGTTGGCGTCGTCGTCGTCGTCGTCGTTGTCGTCGTCGTCCGAAGACACATTAGTTTTCGCACTCTTACTTTAGTTTAAGTGAATGGATCTCAATGAAATTTTACCATAAGGTTCAATACCACAAAAGGAAGGTTGGGATTGATTTTGGGGGCTATGTGCACTGAAATTATCAGACGCATCAGACAACCCCTTGTATGGTTGCTGCCCCTGAATTGGTAATTTTAAGGAAATTTTGCAGTTTTTGGTTATTATCTTGAATATTATAATAGATAGAGATAAAATGTAAACAGCAAAATTGCTCAGTAAAGTAAGATCTACAAACAAGTCACCATCACCTAAACAGAGAATTTTGTCATGAATTCTTTTCTTGTCTTTAATGTTGTAGAGTGTCCTTTGTTTAATATGCACTGCAGCACATAGACCAAGGTGAATGACACAGGCTCTTTAGAGCCTCTAGTTTTACATACATGTAGCAAAGAAGCATACGATTTGAATCATTGTTTTAGAAGTTCAGGTAAAATCTGTTATTTACTTGTAAATTATCAGATGGATAATTTCCTTTAAAATCACATCTTATCCTTATACGCTTGGCGTTCAGCCAGAAGACGATCACACTCATTCATGATTTTAGGAAAGCACTCTGAAAGCAGACAATTATTTTTTCAGGTGTGGGCAGCATGTTTGTAGATTATCTGAAAGCTCATGTCTTGTTAACCTCATAATTATTTCATATAATATTAAAATCAGTATATGGATGCCTCATGTTACGAAGTTTCCGTCAGTCACATGTCTAATGTCCTTGACCTCATTTTCATGGTTCAGTGACTACTTGAAAAAAAAGTTAAGATTTTTTGTAATGTTAAATTCTCTTTTATTATAAGTAATAGGATAACTATATTTGGTATGTGCGTACCTTGCAAGGTCCTCATGCCCGTCAGACAGTTTTCACTTTACCTCGACCTCATTTTAATGGATCAGTGAACAAGGTTAAGTTTTGGTGGTCAAGTCCATATCTCAGATACTATAAGCAATAGGTCTAGTATATTCGGTGTATGGAAGGACTATAAGGTGTACATGTCCAACTGGCAGGTGTCATCTGACCTTGACCTCATTTTCATGGTTTAGTGATTATAGTTAAGTTTTTGTGTTTTGGTCTGTTTTTCTTATACTGTATGCAATAGGTCTACTATATTTGGTGTATGGAATGATTGTAAGGTGTACATGTCTAGCTGGCAGGTGTCATCTGACCTTGACCTCATTTTCATGGTTCAGTGGTCAAAGTTAAGTTTTTGAGTTTTGGTCTTTTTTTCTAATACTATATGCAATAGTTCAACTATATTTGGTGTATGGAAATATTTTATGATCTATTTGTCAGTCACGCAGGTTTTTTTTTACCTTGACCTCATTTTTAAGGTTCATTGCTCAGTGTTAAGTTTTTATACGACTGCAAAAAAATTTTTGTGGTTGTATATTGGTATGACGTTGGCGTCGTCGTCGTCGTCGTCGTTGTCGTCGTCGTCCGAAGACACATCTCAATGAAATTTTACCATAAGGTTCAATACCACAAAAGGAAGGTTGGGATTGATTTTGGGGGTTATGGTACCAACAGTTAAGGAATTAGGGGCCAAAAAGGGGCCAAAAATAAGCATTTTTGTAATTTCCAGACATAACTTGTGTGTAAGTGTATGGATCTCTCTGACATTGTACCACAAGGTTCCATATCACAAAGGGAATGCTGGGATTTATTTTGGGGGTAATTGCCGCCAAATTTTAGGAATTAGGGGCCAAAAAGGGGCAAAAAACAAGCATTTTTCTAGTTTCATGACAATAACTTGTGTGTAAGTCTATGGATCTCTCTGAAATTGTGTCACAAGGTTCCATATCACAAAGGGAATGCTGGGATTGATTTTGGGGGTAATTGCCTCCAAATTTTAGAAATTAGGGACCAAAAAGGGGCAAAAAACAAGCATTTTTCTAGTTTCATGACAATAACTTGTGTGTAAGTGTATGGATCTTTATGAAATTGTACTACAAGGTTCCATATCACACAGGAAAAGCTGGAATTGAGTTTCGGGGTAATTGCCCAAAAAGTTTAGGAATTAGGGGCCAAAAATAAGCATTTTTCTAGTTTTCAGACGAAAACTTGTGTTCAAGTGTATGGATCTCTCTGAAATTGTACCGCAAGGTACCATACCACAAAGGGAAGGCTGGGATTGTTTTTGGGGGTAATTCCCTCAAAATTTTAGTAATTTGGGGCCATAAAAAGGCAAAAAAACAAGCATTTTTCTAGTTTCAGGACAATTACTTGTGTGTAAGTGTATGGATCTTTATGAAATTGTACTGCAAGGTTCCATATCACAAAGTGAAAGCTGGGTTTGAGTTTGGGGTTAATTGCCCTAAACGTTTAGGAATTTGGGGCCAAAAAGGGGCCAAAAAACAAGCATTTTTCTAGTTTCCAGACAATAACTTGTGTTCAAGTGTATGGATCTTTCTGAAATTGTACTACAAGGTACCATACCACAAAGGGAAGGCTGGGATTTATTTTGGAGGTAATTCTCTCAAAATTTTAGTAATTAGGGGCCATAAAAGGGCAAAAAAAACAAGCATTTTTCTAGTTTCAGGACAATAACTTGTGTGTAAGTGTATGGATCTTTATGAAATTGTACTGCAAGGTTCCATACCACAAAAGGAAAGCTGGGATTGAGTTTATGGGTGATGAATCATAAGGGGGTTCAAAAAATTTGGGGGGGGGGATTTTTTTTTCCTTTTTTTTCTTTAAAATTTACCATTTTAAATTGGTTATTTCTGATTTATATATAAAAAGCAAATAATAATGATATGGTTTGAATAGGTAAATTAAAATTTTTTAAGTTATTAGACCACTTTCATTCTGTGTCAGAAACCTATGTTGTGTCAAATATTTAATTACAATCCAAATTCAGTGCTGCATCAAGCTTGAATGTTGTGTCCATACTTGCCCCAACTGTTCAGGCTTCGACCTCTGCGGTCGTATCAAGCTGCGCCCCAGCGGAGCATTTTATTGTGTTTTGGTCTGTTTTTCTTAAACTATAAGCAATAGGTCAACTATATTTGTTGTATGGAAGAAATGTTAGCTGTACATGCCTGCCTAGCATGGTTCATCTGACCTTGACCTCATTTTCATGGTTCATTGGTTAACTTAATGTTTAGTTTACTTGGTTAATGTTAAGTTTATGTGACAGTTGTAATAAAGCTTTATATTTAGGACTATCAACATAATATCAATGATTAGTAAAGAAGGCGAGACATTTCAGCGTGTGCACTCTTGTTTATCAGCTCATAGACATAATTTTGTCATGTGATCGTGACGTCATCAACGTTTTTTCATGATTTACTCCGGTTTGAAATGGAATTAAGAATTAAATTATAAGAAATGACTGTAATATTTTTTCTGCCTATTCAAAATAAGATATAAAATGTGGTGCACACTTTAAATAACCCGCTACGCGGGTTATTCAGTGTGCACCACATTTTTTATGTTATTTCTTCATAGACAGAAAAAATATTACAGTCATTCCTTAAATACATTATCCTATGACATGGAATTATTCAATAAATTTTCATCTAATAGGTGTAATACCACCAAATCATAGTACGTCACATCCGGTTGCATACGAAAATAGGTCGAAAAAAAATATTCCCTTGAATTTGACAGTTGTAAGTTATTGATCCTACATTTCATTGCAGTAAAACATTTCTGGGTCATAAATATATATCTTGGGTATTTCAAAGCACCATTATTTTTTTATTTGGGGTTTCTATAGAATACTTTGTTAACTTGAGGTTACATGGTTACTAAAGCTTGTACACAGGTTAAAAAAGGGGGAAAATTTGATTGGTTAACTTCCAGTGATGGTTATTGTCTTATATGCAATGAAATGTTATGTGAATTTTTTTCTATAGTACTGGACAGGATAAAACTTTACTCATGCCAAGTATTTCTTTATTTGAAACAAAGATAAATTCTGCACATTTTTTTGAAAAGTGCAAATTTAACATAGACTAATAGGGGAAAATCAATGGTGGTATTACACCTAATAGCAAGTACATGTAAGGGCGAATAACCCTCAAAATTGACACTTAGCGGTAAATAACCTTTTCAGCCATTTGTTTTTGCACAATTATCTCCCCCATAAAGATTATTTGACATCACATTTTCAGTCATGGTTCATTGACTTTGAAAATTTTTCAATAGTTTTCATGTTTAAATGTTGCTGTTTTAATTTAAACAATTGCATTAAACTATCAAAATTGCATATAGGCGAGACATATCCCTGTGTCAACAGTTTATTACATTATCACATTTCTAAGTATAGTGAACCATAAAAATGAGATCAAAACCTTTATTTAACATACAATTTAGAAAGATCATACTATAAGGAACATGCACATACCAAGTTTGAAGTTGATACGACTTCAACATCATAATAAACAACTTTTACCAAAAACATCTGGGACAGACCAGAAAGCATAATGCCACTGTATTATTTCTTTCAGGTCGTTTTTACGCTTAAAGTTGAGGTCGCAAATGCGGCCACAGATCAGCAATGATGTCCAAACAAATACCATACATTTATCAGAATCTGCATCACAAAAAAAAACTGCTGCACAAAGGTCAGAGAATTACAGGGACAAAATAAAACAAGACCCTGAAAAATATATTGCATACTTAGAAAGAGAAAAAGAACGAAATAGAAAATGGAGGGAAAATTGGTCTTCTGAACAAAAAATCAATCAGAGGGAAAAAACGAGGTTACGAGTACGTAAATGGGGAGAAGAAAGAAAACCAGAGGAAATTGTTAAATTAAAAAAAAAACCTAAACCAAAAACACGTGCACAAGTAAGTTCAGAAAGAGAATACTGGCAGAGAAAAAAAGAAGAACAACGAGCAAAGTACTCAAGCCAAAAGAGAAGAAGAATTAATGAAAAAAGGCGGTTGCAATACAAATTGAATAAATCCAAGAGCACAACTGAAAACCTAATGCCAGCTGAATCAACAGAAACTCACCAAGGGTATTCAACAAAGGAAGCAGAAAGAAAGGCTGTGTACAGAGCCTCGTTGCATCTACCTTCATCACCTGAAAAGTTTGCATCTGTAGTTGGTGGGTTGACTGCTAAGGCAACTCCAAGAAAAAGAGAAGCATTGACCAAACATGGCCTTTTACTGACACCAACAAAAAAAAGACATCTTAGGATAAGCCAAGAAATAATCTGCAAGATGAAAGATGATTTGCATAAAACCAGAAAACATCGCACTAAGGAGGTTTTAAAGAAAAGAAGACTTTTAACTAGCTTCATACTTAAAGATGCTGAAAAGAGAAAGGCTGGCATTTCTTGGAAATTTGCAGTTAAATGTTCAAAACTTAAAGATGTATGGGAAGAAGATTCTGAAACACCAAAAAGAAGTGATGCTTTGACAGAAGATACAATTGACAAGATAGAAAAATTCTACAAAGATTTTGACACTGTATGTCTGCCGGATAAAAAACAGGCATCATTGAAATCTGAAGAACCAAAAAGAATCTTGCAGAGCAGTTTAAGGGACAACTACAATGAATTCCTTAAAGAAAACCAAGAATGTACATTAAATTTTTCCAAGTTCACTGCACTAAGACCCAAGACTGTACAGACTATGAGTAAATCTATTTTTAACAATTGTCTTTGTGAGTATTGTACAAATATTCAATATAAAGTAAAGGCACTAAATATTAAAGGAGTTAACACCAGATATGACTTGTTAGCAAGAACTGTATGCCAAAAACCAGAAGGATCTAGATATTACAAAATTGAATGTGTTAAAAGGTTATGCAAATTATGTGGGGTAGATAAGTTTATTTCCCAGTTAGACTTGAACAAAAGGCATATTATACAATGGTATAAATGGGAAACGCAGACGTATATGCATGCAAATGAAAAAAAATCAAAGAAGGTTCTAAGTTTAAAGAAAGAGAGTGTCAATAATTTCCTTGAAGAGCTCAAAAAAGAATTACAGCCATTCAGTGCTCACTTAAATACTGCCTGGTGGCAACATGACCAATTCAGACATGTGACACAGAATTTGCCGTCTGATTGGACTATTTTCTGTAGTGATTTTGCAGAAAATTATACATGTATATACCAGGATGAAGCACAAAGTGCACATTGGTCTCATGACACAGTTACTCTTTTCAGCATTGTTGCCTACATCAGATGCAAATTCTGTAAGTTAGTCGTAACTCAAAGCATGATCTATGTGTCAGAAGACAAAAAACATGACTTTCATTATGTTCAACATTGTATTTCATTGGCAAACGAGTATATACAAAGAGTTTATGAGATTAAATCTAAGAGGCAGATTCACTTCAGTGATGGAGCAGCATCACAGTTCAAGTCGAAAACCCCATTTGCAGATGCTCTTCACAGCAAATCAGACTTTGGTTTTCCTGTTGAGAAACACTTCTTTGGAAGCAGGCATGGTAAAGGACCATGTGATGGTGAATTCGGGGTTATTAAAAGAATTGTAACAAATGCTGTAAAAAACAGAAAAGCCATGGTGAAAAATGCAAGTGAATTCTTTGATTTTGCAGAGGCAAATTTAAGACGGCCAACACTAGACTCGCAGAATGAATGTTGTCATTTTAGAAGAAATTTCTTCATAGTAAAGGAAGGTGATGTCAACAGAAAACGCCAAGAGAGGACCAATGTGAAGGCTGTTCCTGAAACCAGACAACTTCATTCTGTGAGGGCTTCCAATGATTCGGCTTCTCTAGAAAAGCGCACACTTAGCTGTTTTAGCTCAACATGCATACAAGGATCTGGTTCCTGTCATAATGTAGACATGGTAGAAGGTTGGATAAAAGAGACACAAAGAAGACAGTTGAACAAGAAAGACACCTCTAAAAAAAGTAAGAAAGTTGACAAGAAAAATGTCAAAGGTTTGTTTAAGGAAACTCCAAGAAAACAGTTGAGCAAGAAAAACCAAAGAGCAACTCGTTCAAATAGCCACAAGAAAGCAGACTCACAAGATAGAATACAGGATTTACCAAAACAAAAAGAATTTAACAGACAAGACACAACAGTTGAAGAATTGCACTCTCTTGAAAATACCTCACCACAAATCAATGAACTATCAGTCAATATTGCAAGAGTGCAAGATAATAAGGACACTCTTTTTGAAGTTATATTACAAACTTTGAAGAGCTCTACTACAGTAGATGACATGATGATTAAAGGAACTGAACTCGCAAGTGTGATACCACATCTTAGGTGCAACAAAGATGAAGACATTTCTATTTCTGGAAGTGGGTTACATATTGACAAGCTCGGGATGGAACTGTTGCCGGATGATGTCAAGGAAGAAGGATATTTCCCTGCAAGTGTACTTGGTGATGGAAATTGCTTGCCTAGGTCTGCTAGTGTGATAATGTATGGAACAGAAAACAATCATACGGAACTACGTGTCAGAATTGCATTAGAACTGGCATGCTATTTGCCGCTGTATGTGGACCATACATATTTAAGGAGAGGTGAACAACTATCTGATAAAGAAGCGCTTGTTCTCCCAAAGTCTTACGTTATGTATTCAGAGCTGTATACACCTGGAGATATAATTACTTCATCTTTGATAGAAAGAACACTATTTGAAGAGATTAGGAAAGTATGCAGTGCAAATGAATTCATGGGAATTTGGCAGATTTTTGCACTTGCATCAGTTTTGGGAAGGCCTCTGCAATCAGTTTATCCAAATCGTGGAAATCCAAATGTGAGAAAAGATCTCAATCGATCAATCTTGCCAAGGGAAATGGAAAGCAACACACCTGCATATATCCTCTGGTCATCAAACATAAATGATGAAATGACATATGCTCATTGGATTCCAAACCATTTCTGTCCAATTTTGAAGATGTCCATAAATGATGATGTCCTTGAATACAGTACTGACACTCTTGGAGATATAGACCTGGAAAACATCAGCGGGTTGTCTGAGCAGCTGGCTTCCTGGGTCATGGATTTACTTGATGACAGTGATTCAGACGTCAGCAATAACCAATATAATATGGTAAATATTTCTATAATGTTAGATGTGTTCATGATCATACAGTAATGGACAATGATGGAGCAACTTTTTTTTAATAAGTTGTTTACTTTATTTAGCCTTTTTAACTTTATTGGATTCCAGCGTCACTGATGAGTCTTTTGTAGACGAAACGCGTGTCTGGCTAGATACAAAATTAATCCTTGTATCTATGATGAGATTTTTAAACAGTTAATGTATTGCTTTCACTTGGTACGTGGATTTGTTTTCACTTGATTATCACAGTGTGTAAGAATTATATGAATTATATGCTATTACATGCATTACAATTTCATGCTGTTTTTCAGGATGAGACCACAGCTGATCAACACTCCTCATTGGATAAACTGACAGATAACCAGTCCTCGATGACAGTTAAACCCATGGATGTCCAAACTTTTGCTTCAGTTCAACCGGAAGAGGCTCTGATGTCCAACTTGCAGGACAACAGTGAACAGAGCAACAATAGTATTGTTGTGTCTAAGGTATCTATATTTGTTATGTAAATTGCAGACCCAGACTTTGGGCATGATCATACAGTTATAATGGACAATGATGGAGCCACCCATTAAAAAAAAAATTTAAATAAGCTGTTTTAGACCCATTAATGTATTGCTTTCATTTGGTACGTGGATTTTTTTTGTCTTGATGATGAAAGGTGTGCAAGAATTTTATGCCATTACATGCATTACAATTTCATGCTGTTTTTCAGGATGAGACCACAGCTGATCAACACTCCTTATTGGATAAACTGACAGATAACCAGTCCTCGATGACAGTTAAACCCATGGATGTCCAACCTTTTGCTTCAGTTCAACCGGAAGAGGCTCTGATGTCCAACTTGCAGGATAACAGTGAACAGAGCAACAATAGTATTGTTGTGTCTAAGGTATCTATATTTATTATGTAAATTGCAGACCCAGACTTTGGGCATGATCATACAGTTATAATGGACAATGATGGAGCCACCCATTAAAAAAAAATTAGATAAGCTGTTTTAGACCCATTAATGTATTGCTTTCATTTGGTACGTGGAACTTTTTTGTCTTGATGATGAAAGGTGTGCAAGAATTTTATGCCATTTCATGCATTACAATTTCATGCTGTTTTTCAGGATGAGACCACAGCTGATCAACACTCCTTATTGGATAAACTGACAGATAACCAGTCCTCGATGACAGTTAAACCCATGGATGTCCAAACTTTTGCTTCAGTTCAACCGGAAGAGGCTCTGATGTCCAACTTGCAGGATAACAGTGAACAGAGCAACAATAGTATTGTTGTGTCTAAGGTATCTATATTTATTATGTAAATTGCAGACCCAGACTTTGGGCATGATCATACAGTTATAATGGACAATGATGGAGCCACCCATTAAAAAAAAATTAAATAAGCTGTTTTAGACCCATTAATGTATTGCTTTCATTTGGTACGTGGAACTTTTTTGTCTTGATGATGAAAGGTGTGCAAGAATTTTATGCCATTACATGCATTACAATTTCATGCTGTTTTTCAGGATGAGACCACCACTGATCAACACTCCTTATTGGATAAACTGACAGATAACCAGTCCTTGATGACAGTTAAACCCATGGATGTCCAACCTTTTGCTTCAGTTCAACCGGAAGAGGCTCTGATGTCCAACTTGCAGGATAACAGTGAACAGAGGGACAATAGTATTGTACTGTTCCAAGAGAAGCCCTTATATGACCAGCTCTTAGTCTCTGAGCACTACACTAAAAGATATAATGAGCAACAGAGGTAAGGAAAATATTAGTGATGAATAGACTTGTTGTTTTAATGTACATAAGACAATAACATTCAAAATCAAGGAGTAAACAACAGACATTTACAAACAGTTAAAGTAAGTAAGTAACAACACGAACTCCACTTAAAACTGGCAGTGAAATCAGGTGCTCTGGAAGGGTAGGCATTTCCTGCACCGTATAAGGCACCTGTTGTGTTATTTCTTTGTCCAGTCCTTTAATGATGGAAGGCTACTTGTGACTGAGGAAGAATACTAGATACAATTTCTGACACACTTTTGTCATAATGGCAGATCAGCTCATGATGGCTATGATAAAATTTCTTGAGTGCTGACTGTAATTCCTGTCCAAGTAATGTTTCTACATATGTCTGATAACCATGTATGCAACTGTTCATAAATTATTGAAGTTGACTTCAGATATCAGTGTAATTATTTGTTCATAATTCAGCTTCCAAATTTACTCAACTTTATATTTACATTGTATTAGTTATATGAGTGGCAATATTTGCTTATTGCCCAAGGGACAAAAACATACCCTGCTGTTGTAAGTATTGCAGTTTTGTTCAGTTTAAGTTAAAGTTTTATTATGTTTTACTGTTATATTTTCTAGGATTGTTTTGCAGAAACTTCTAAATGTCTAATTAACCACTATTTTGTATCATACTTTTGTAAAAATTTTGAATTTCCAGAATTTTAATAAAGGGTTCTTGTATTCTAGATCGATCTTTAGTTCAAATAATTAGATATTATACATGTAGTAGGTTTTATAATTTCTATATAATTACATAAATTTCTAAAATGTAACTTTAAATTACACAATTTTAGAGGGATAAATAGTTAGTTTACACATATCATAATTATTTGTGATTGGGGTTTGCAACAACATCAGCCTACAGTTGTAATAAACAGTTTCTTTAACTTTTTGCTGATCTGATGAAATTGAACTGTATGGTATCGATATATAAGTGGTTGTTATTTTTTATACCTTTTTGAACAATAAAAAAATCAATACTGTGTTGTTTTAGGTTGATGTGTGGCCCTATGTTTACTTCTATACCCACAAGAAGGAGGACTTGTGGATAAGTGCATCGATACGCCATTCCATAATATCATCAGAGGTGGTCAAACCAATAGACCCGCCAGATGTCTGTTTGATTGGAACTAGACGATTTATGTACAAATTCAAAGGTAGATATGAGATTATTTATTAAACATAGTTTACATTATCCAAAGATATAGATATAAAAAAAATACAGTGTTTAAACTCAGATCACCCTTTTACAAAGTAATTCAAGTCCGATGTTTGTGAGTGATAGGCCAAGTCCACACAAACAAATAGAATAAGTCATAAATTATAATTCCAAAAAATGTTCAGTGATGATTCTGAATTATACCCTAAACTAAATTCAAGATGATCTATAACACATACATTGACATATATATTGAATGTGTAAATTTGTGTCCTGGCTGATACCAATTGAAACAAATACCTCAATTGAATGTAAATTTTTCGAGCCATTTGTTCACCAAGTATGTGGAAATTCATGTACATAATACATGTACATGTAGATAAAGTTATAAATCTTTCCAAGAACAACCAAGAAATATATACATTGTTTGTACTGTACAATGAAGGAATACATGTACCTTAACAGTTCAGATGTTCACACACACAGAGCAATGTTATTTTATTCATATAAATTTATTAATTTGGTTAAAATAGATATTTTGCCACACATGTATCATAGCAAAATGTAATATATATATATATGAATACTATAATGAAAAGTTCAGTTAATATCAAAAGTTAATGCTGTACCATTTTCCTCTTTTTCAGATCTTTGAACTTCAGGAATCTGTGCCAGAGAGTGTTCCAAGTTTTATGTCAAATAAAATATTTGGTTAACGTTTTTATGCTTGAGTTTAACTACTGAAAATTTATTCTTGATTCCCTGTGTTTACATCTCTTCATGGCTTTACTTAGTACTTATAATGTACATGTGTTCTGGGTAGCCCTTTAAAAATCAATTTTAAAACTGTATTAAAGATTCCATTTCACCGAAACTCCCTCCCAGCGGTTCCATGTTATTGACCAATGCGGAACAAGCAAATCACTGCCCACCTTAAATATATATGTTATTAACAATTAAGAAATTATGAACTGACATTTCATAAGAATCTAGACAACCAAAGCATGAGTAAAAAAGGGCAATCAATGGACAAAAGACATAACCAGGTGCAGGTCTGTGGTTTTCTCTGGGCACTCCGGCTTCCTCCAATAAAGACTGGCAGCAACAAAAAAGCCTAAATGCAGTGGTTAAAAGTGGTGTTAAAACACAAAAAAACAATCAATCAATATAGCAAAAGAGATATTCTAGATAGATCTAGACATTAAAAAACTCAACACAGAAAAAAACAGACCCCCAATAGTGTATTGATCACTAAATTTACCCCTATGGTGTTTCAATATATTAATTACTAAATTTATTCTTATGGTGTTTCAATGTGTAACAGACATTTGGTTCGCTCAAAATTTGTCCACATAACCTAGATTTAGACCGAAAAGAAAGATTTTTTGATGAGTTCTACACATTTATAGGTCAGTGGATGCTTTCTACAAAACTCAAATGACTATTTGAACATACAACAGGTTCTATAATTGTACGGGGGCTGTTACATTCTGTGACGATTGTTACATGGAATATTTAGACTTGTATTGAATTTCAACATCCTCTTGTTTAGTAGATGTTATATCTATTCTTTGTATAACTATTTTGATGGAGTTTCTATAAAATTCATTATCAAAATATAAGAAAACTTGACGCTTATTTTTTTTATTAGGATATTAGTTTTTGACACAATTTTTGGTGTCCATTGTAATGATCGTTACATTTTTTACAAATTTTCTTATTTTTCTATTCCATACTCATAAAAAAATAACTTTTCGTATATTTTTCACTAAAACTATCACTTTAAATTGTTTTCAAAAGGCAGTTTATATTGTGTTGTCTCTGTGTTAATTTATAATAGGTTAAACATGAATAAGGATGTTTCGTGAGGCTTGGTCAAAACTGTAGAGAGTCAAACATCCAAAAAAAATAGTATTGAGACACTTAACAGAGAAAATGTGCATTAGGTTCAATGGAATGAACTGAAAATGCATAAACTTAATAGTCACTATTACAAAATATGTGTATTTAAATCATTTTACTGGACACCAATGTAACCTACGTCACTTTCCCACAGTCATTTTTCAGAAGCACATTTTGGCATTTTATCTGCTTAATTTTATCTTTTTATTATCAATATCATGTAGTTAAACGTTTAAACTCTCTGTTATATCCAGTTATGGCATGATACTATCACTTAAAAAAAAAAAAAAACACTGTCCCACTTTTTGAAACCACTATTGTGGAATGACTCTAATAACGAACTTTTTCAGTTCAAATTTTTAACGCAATTTAGACAAAACTGTTCAAATAAGCTAAACAAACTTTATTTAAGTCAATATATGAACAGCGTTGTAGGGTGACCAGAGGTAACCAACGTCAATATATGTGTTTTGTGACCAGAAGTAACGAAAGTGAATGATTGTGTTATCTGAGCATTATTGTAAGGTGACCAGAGGTCAACATAGTGAATATATGAACAAGGTGGCCAGAGGTAACCAAATTAAATGAGCGTGTAATGTGACCAGAGCATCATTGTACGTGGACCAGAGGTAAACATAGTCAATATGTGTCTAAGGTGACCAGAGGTAACCTAAGTCAATATATGAACAGCAGTGTAAGGTGACCAGAGGTAACCATAGTCAATATATGTGTTTGGTGACCAGAAGTAACCAAAGTGAATGATTGTGTTATGTGAGCATTATTGTAAGGTGACCAGAGGTAACCAACATCAATATATGTGTTTGGTGACTAGAAGTAACCAAAGTGAATAATTGTGTTATGTGAGCATTATTGTAAGGTGACCACAGGTCGCCATAGTGAATATATGTACAAGGTGACCACAGGTAACCAAATTAAATGAGTGTTTAATGTGACCAGAGCATCATTGTAACTGGAACAGAGGTAAACATAGTCAATGTGTGTCCAAGGTGAACAGAGGTAACCTAAGTTAATTTATGAACAGCGGTGTAAGGTGACCAGAGGTAACCAACGTTAATATACATGTTTGGTGACCAGAAGTAACCAAAGTGAATGATTGTGTTATGTGACCATTATTGTAAGGTGACCAGAGGTCAATATACTGAATATATGTGTTTGGTGACCAGAAGTAACCGAAGTGAATGATTGTGTTATGTGAGCATTATTGTAAGGTGACCAGAGATCAACATAGTGAATATATGTACAAAGTGACCAGAGGTAACCAAATTAAATGAGTGTGTAATGTGACCAGAGCATCATTGTAACTCGACCAGAGGTTTGCATAGTCAATATGTGTCCAAGGTGATCAGAGGTAACCTAAGTCAATATATGAACAGCGGTGTAAGATGACCAGAGGTTACCATAGTAAATATATGTGTTTGGTGACCAGAGGTAACCAAATTAAATGAGTGTGTAATGTGACCAGAGCATCATTGTACGTGGACCAGAGGTAAACATAGTCAATATGTGTCCAGGGTGACCAGTGGTAACTAACGTAAATATATGAACAGCGGTGTAAGGTGACCTGAGGTTACCAACATCAATATATGTGTTTAATGACCAGAAGTAACCAAAGTGAATGATTGTGTTATGTGAGCATTATTGTAAGATGACCAGAGGTCAACATAGTGAATATATGTAGAAGTTGACCAGAGGTAACTTAATTAAATGATTTTGTACTGTGACCAGAGCATCATTGTAACTGGACCAGATGTTAACATAGTCAATATGTGTCTAAGGTGACCAGAGGTAACCTAAGTCAATATATGAACAGCAGTGTAGGGTGACCAGAGGTAACCATAGTCAATATTGGTCCTGGAACAGAGTTATCGTCCCTTCAATTTCGGTGTCTACGAATATAGTCCCTAGTGTGAACAGTGTGTTTCTTGCTATTTTTCTTATACCCTTTCCACATTTATTTCTTCATGTTTCATGCCTCACATAGCAATTAGGGGAATGAAACTACACTGTAAAAAAATTAGGTCATGGATTTTAGAGTAAAGAAGTGATTTGATCCAAGTAAAAATGGTTAAAAATTAGTATCTCGGAAGCTGTCAAAAGAATTCAAGACCCCTTTAACATAAAATTGTCCATATTTTGAGTTTTCTATAATTTTGCTATAATTTGTCCCAAAAGTAGTACACCATGCTGTAAAAATATTATTGAGAAAGCGCAGGTGGGATTTTTTTAATTTCCATTTATTGTCTAAAAGAAATGCACTTCGAAATAACTGTGTTCTCCGGCCTTTAGTTGAAATGACCCGAGGTAACCAACGTCAATATATGTGTTTGATGACCAGAAGTAACCAAAGTGAATGATTGTGTTATGTGAGCATTATTGTAAGGTGACCAGAGGTCAAAATAGTGTATATTTGTACAAGGTGACCACAGGTAACCAAATTATATGAGTGTGTAATGTGACCAGAACATCATTGTAACTAGACCAGAGGTAAACATAGTCAATATGTGTCCAAGGTGACCAGAAGTAACCTAAGTTAATATATGAACAGCGGTGTAGGGTGACCAGAGGTAACTAACGTCAATATATGTGTTCGGTTACCAGAAGTAACCAAAGTGAATGATTGTGTTATGTGAGCATTATTGTAAGGTGACCAGAGGTTACAAACGTCAATATATGTGTTTGGTGATCAGAAGTAACTAAAGTGAATGATTGTGTTATGTGAGCATTATTGTAAGGTGACCACAGGTCAACATAGTGAATATATGTCCAAGGTGACCGGAGGTAACCTAAGTCAATATATATGTTTGGTGACCAGAAGTAACCAAAGTGAATGATTGTGTTATGTGAGCATTATTGTAAGTTGACCAGAGGTCAACATAGTGAATATATGTACAAGGTGACCAGAGTTAACCAAATTAATCGAGTGTGTAATGTGACCAGAGCATCATTTTAACTGGACCAGAGGTAAACATAGTCAATATGTATCCAAGGTGACCAGAAGTAACCTAAGTCAATATAAGAACAGCGCTGAATGGTGACCAGAGGTAACCAACGTCACTATATGTGTTCGATGACCAGAAGTAACCAAAGTGAATGATTATGTTATATGAGCATTATTGTAAGGTGACCAGAGGTCAACATAGTGCATATATGTACAAGGTGACCAGCGGTAACCAAATTAATCGAGTGTGTAATATGATCAGAGCATCATTGTAACTGGACCAGAGATAAACATAGTCAATATGTGTCCAAGGTGACCAGAAGTAACCTAAGTTAATATATGAACAGCGGTGTACGGTGACCAGAGGTAACCAACGTCACTATATGTGTTCGGTGACCAGAAGTAACCAAAGTGAATGATTGTGTTATGTGAGCATCATTGTAAGGTGACCAGAGGTTACCAACGTCAATATATGTGTTTCGTGATTAGAAGTAACCAAAGTGAATGATTGTGTTATGTGAGCATTATTGTAAGGTGACCAGAGGTCAACATAGTGAATATATGTGTTTCGTGATCAGAAGTAACCAAAGTGAATGATTGTGATATGTGAGCATTATTGTAAGGTGACCACAGGGTAAAATAGTGAATATATGTCCAAGGTGACCAAAGGTTACCTAAGTCAATATATGAAAAGCAGTGCGAAGTGACCAGAGTTGACAATAGTCAATATATGTGTTTGGTGACCAGAAGTAACCAAATTGAATGATTGTGTTATGTGAGCATTATTGTAAGGTGACCAGAGGTCAACATCGTGAATATATGTACAAGGTGACCACAGGTAACCAAATTAAATGAGTGT